CCGGGTGAGCAGACTGAAAACAGAAAGGAAATAGTCATCTTCCCTGAGACATGTTTCTCTCCTATTCCACATCAGGATCTGGTTCAAGTTTGGGATACAAAAAAATTATTTTTAGTGATACTGAGAATTTTTCAAGTATCAATCAACGACAAAAGGAATAAGGGCAGTTTTTAATAATGAAAAGAAGCTAGCAAGCTCTGAATTGCTTGAGGACAAGCAAATGTCTTAGTTCTCTTTATTTTCCCATTTATGGCCCCAATTAGCCTGAAGCTTGGCATAGAGTAGGGGCCTGAAGTATTTTTGTTGAGCAAATAAATGAGAGAAAGAAAATTCTAAATACTAACAAGGCCCAAATAAATACTCACATGTTAATCCTTTATTCTTTAAGAGTCATTACTGGCAATAAATAGATCTACAGTCAGAATTAAAAGATTGTCTCTCCTCAAAATGGTTCAGGTTGATTGTGATTGAAAAGTGAAAAAGCAAAATGCTTCATAATTAGATTCTTCACAAGACATTATTTGGATTTAAGTATAGAAGACAGCATAGAACTCTTAGTAAAAAACTAATAATTAAAAAATAGAATAATGTATCTTATAATTAGTCACATATTCATTTTTATATTACATTTACTAAAAGACTTAGGGAAATCTTATGGATTCATACTCTCTAACTCAAAAATTCTATTGAAAAAAAAAATTTACTCTTGCAAAAAAAAAAAAAAATTCTATTGACCCATGTCATCAGTCCCCATTTTTAACTCTGCAATCCTATTTTCCCCAGAGCACTGGCTTTCAGACTACTAGCAGGATGTGTAATTTGCCGCTAGGTTTGGCTGATGTTGACTTCTGGTAATTGAGGTAAGGCCAATGCCAAAATGGCTGAATAAAATAGTTACAGGTCAATGGATTTCTGGAACACCATTTGCAAGGTTTAAGGCAGGATCAAGAAACTGACAATGGTGCCAATGAGGCAATGAAATCATTACTGAGAAGAAATAGCTAGAGCCCCATCTGTTAGGTTAGTCCTGAAGGATGGAGAAAATGAAGCCTTTGGGGCAGGGCTATGGAGCAAGGACAGCTCTATAAAGGACAGAGTGACCTATATCACTCCTCTCTGCCCTCAACTGCAACAGATCATCTCTATGAACTGAGAGATGATAATTTTGTACACGGTGATCTGAGAAGGGAAGATGGGAAGTGCCGGCTAACAAGATACTTACTTCTCTGACAAGTGGTACCTCGGAACCCTGGCGCACACTCACAGATGCCGTCATCAGGGGAGCAGGAAGCCCCGTTTTTACAGTAGCAGGGAAGGGAGCAGTTGGGGCCCCAGCGCCCCTCAGCACACACGCTGTCACAATGGACACCTGAAAGGAGGCACATGGGCAAGGCTGAGTGAGAAGCTGGGAGGGCAGGCACCTCGGACGCTAAGTCAGAGACCAGGATCAAGGTCACCACATCAAACCTGAGTTAGCATGGGTAGCAGTGAGCAGGGATGATCTAAAACTTAAAATCCACTTATACACAGCAGTTCATCATACATTATATCATATATCATATCATCATAACATTAAAATAATCCCAGGACTATACTCTATAGCATCATAAAGGAGAAAGAATAAAACATCTTTGTTATACTGATTTTTCTTCCTTAGGAGGAGAAAGCAGAGAAGAAGCCCAAGGGCTCTGTCTATTGAAGGCAAAATTTATCAGAAACACTATATGATTTAGCCCTCAGCGCCTTCCTCCCTTCCCCATTCTTTATTTTTTACAGAAAAGTAGGCAAAGCGTAGAAAGATAAAGTAAGAAAAAGGTGGTTAAATAATTTTACATAAAGAAAATCTCCCCCTGGAGCAAACAAACATAATCTTAAAATATTTTGAAAATACATTGTGCAAGACAGAAAGATATACTAATCTGTGCCGCCAAATTCCTCTTTAAACATTTAATCCAGCACAGGCAGGATATCACAAATGATGTTACTCATGGCTGTTTTCTAAATGATTGATTATTGAGAACCCATATGCAGGTATTTAACTCTTAGTCTGGAAACAGAGAAACTTTAGAGTCAGTCGCCAGTGAACAAATGCCTAAAAGAAACAGAGAGAAAATCCAAAGTAGCAAAAAATAAAACCAGATTTTATTTCAGATAAATGGAAGTCTCCTTTGTAAATTCGTATTCGAAATACCATAGGGGCCTCTTTCTTGTAAGTCACAGTACTTCACAACTCAAAGAAATGCTCTCTGTATTGAGAGGCAATAAGAATGAGTTATAATTAGGAGTGAACCAGCGACTGCTGGCCTCCAACCAAGTGAAAACATGTTAAGAACCAGCCCACTCCCACTCGGACGGTTCCAGAATGCGAATTCTGCTTGCACTAGGAGGCTGACAAGGCCATGTTTTGTATTACAGTTTTTGCTCTTAAATTGATTAGGAGAAAAGTTACCATGGCCTGAACCTTAATACAGAAGCAGTTCCAAACCCTAACGTGAACATTGTTAATTGGTGGCCAGTCATTTATACTGAAATAACTCCACTTTTCACTCTTCCTGATTTTCTCCATCTGAAAGTCTTCCACATGGTAAAGGCCGTTAAGCAGGCATGAAAAAGCACAGGCCTCATTGTGTCTCGCTGGAATTGGCAACAGACTGTTATTTCAGCCTGGACTGCTGGCTGAAGAAAGGCGAGCAGGCCTGTTAGATGCCAACTGGGGTTTAAGTGTTCCCCATAGAATAAGATGCAGAATTTTGGTCTACTATGATATTTTTTTTTTTCCTTGAGCTCACAAATATTTGATCTTTCTTGCAAATCTCTTTTGAAAAACTGAGATGGGATTGCAAATGCTCTACTCTCCAAGCACGCTAAAACAGTCCCAAAGTCTAAGCTAGTGTTCTGACTCACAGTTACTAGGCAGAAGCAACAAATGGACTGAGGACCAAACCACTTAGAAAGAGGCTGCAAATCTAAAGTTTGTTTTGCAAACTTGAAAGAAGTACCCACAAAGGTAACCTGTTTCATTCTCTAATTCAAGTTCAGGTTCTGATCATGAACCAGGACTCCTGTGTTACAGCAGGTAAAATGAAACACTTGCCTCATAGAGATCCAGGCAACCCCTGCCATTTTGGTCTGGAGCTACCTGGGCAAATCCCACTAAGGATTTTAGAGAAGTAGAAGCTGAGTGAATATCTGGATAATCTGAAAATCACCCTGAAAATTAATCCTGAGTTTTCACACTGTTTTTCTGGGGTAGGAGTTTGAAGGAGGTGAGCGATATAGCCAATTACCTGATTTAGTTTATCAGCTACTTAACGGATTTTTTACACAACACTTCATAAAATGCAGTTAAAATGGAGTGGAATACACTCTAGATCAAAAAGTACGTGTTGCTTTTTCACATTAGCGATTATCATGATTTACATATTAATTAGCACATTCTCAATTAGAGCATGTTAAGAAAAATGACTCCATGGCAGATTGGCCAATCAGAATAAAGTGATCCTTTTTTTATATCTATTTCCCCCTCTGTAATAGGTTGGTCCAGCTGGTTAGCATAACCATCAGTTAAAATCAACTTTTTCAAGGCAATTTTCATAAATGTAACAAGGCCCCTGATAGAGCAAGGAGATCCATAGCAAAGATAAGCTTTTTTTCACATAATTTACCCATCATTTCATTTCTGGAGAATCAAGTAATTCTAGAGATCACCTATCAAGACTTCTTTCTCTAATCATATGAGTATATTTCAACAGAACCAAGCTTACATTTAAATAACTTTTATTTTAGGGCTGCAAAGAAGTCTTTTTTTGGCAAGTAAATTTTAAACAATTCTATTACCAACTCCCTCTGAAAAGTCAATTCCTTTTCTTTTTCTCTATCACTAGTAACAGTCAGTCATCATTTTGCAGATATTAATGCCAAGTCTATTTGGAGACAAATATAAAGCATGTCTCGTTCAGGTGGCAACTCTAGGAAAAACGCATGAAACTGTCTTTTTCCCTCTTGCTTCACCTTTTTCTCCTATTGCTATTCCTCCCCTTCAGACCTCTGTGCCCTTCTGTTATCTTTTGCTTCATCTTATAGTCAGAAAGGGATAAGATAAATTTATTATTACTGAGGGGTTGTTGTCTCTAGGTAATTAGTACTTCAGAAAGCATACCTGTTAGAAGCCTAAGAAATAAATCGCTGTGAAATTTAAATCTGTAAGGCTGATGAAATGCAGGCATTAGCCCTGGGGTAAGTGCTGTTCTGGGTCACAGTTAGTGTATGGACTCTGATGCGCCCTCCATATAAGGCTAACCCTACAATGAAACTCTCTCCAGGATAGGGAATTGTAAGTTTGCTTAACTATTTTATGGGGTAAGGTAGGCGGCTGGGTGTTGTATGTGAGTGTGTGTTTTATGCCCTAATTATTTCCATTGATCTCATCTTACTCTTTGCCAACCTCGCTGGAGTCCTATAAGACACCTTTTTGTTTCCTTGTTTGTCAAAGACAGAAAAGAGAATTCAGCTCAATAAATATTCAAGGAGTCTAGACACTGCCGGCTTGCTGATGACAGGTTCTCTAAGACAGACCTCCAACTCTAGAGTGACAATGGCCCCAGGAAAGACATATCCAATCCTGGTCTAGAGATCATGATCAGGGAAGGAAGTAGCTTGTGAAGGTGGAGGAGGGTCCCAGAATAATAGAATGGTGGTGCAAGGCTCAGGCCCTAAGAAGTATGTGTCTATCCTTCAGAAGTCAAAAGTGTTGGGGATGGCTGAAACTGGTGCTGGGAAAAGCAGGGAAGACAGTGAGGCAGCCAGGCAGTGGTCACAAAAGGAAGAGCCAAGGACGTCATGCTATGGAGTTTGAGCTTCCTCCTGGGTTAACAGTGGAAAAAATGACAAGGTCTTTAACCAAATCAATGGCACCTGAGGGAGATGAATTCCAGAGAAGTACAGAAGAGAATGCAGATGAAAGACCACTCCCCGCTCCATACTCCATCCAGTGTAATATAAGAATTCTCAAAAAAAAAAAAAGAATTCTCACAGCCCCATGAGAGTCGGTGCCTACTTTTGTCACTGCAGTGCCCAGTACATGAAGGATGCTAAATAAATGTCTCTTGAATGAGTCAATAAGCACAGTTCCTCTTTCCAACATAATATTCAGGACTATTTTCCAACTGGATAGAGCAACCATACCATTCTTTGTTTCTCTGAAGATATGAGAAGAACACTCAAACCAGGAAGCCCAACATGTGAATATTCTGTCTACCTAAAATGAGGACCCTTGCTAGCTAAGGGAGTGGAAATGTCTGCCTTACTTATTTGGGGCAAGACAGACTTTCATTAGCTCAGGTCTGTGATTTTAAATGTTAGTCCAGATTATAAAGCAACAGGAGATCTAAAGGATATCTTGAGGAAATTCCTTTGGAATGTTTATCAAAGTACAGATAGAGGCTTTCAATGAGTTACTTCAGGAAACAATTTCCTACACTATTTGGAAGAATGGGCAAAACAGAAAGGGGATATCTTTAAATTTGTAGGATTCTCTGGTTCAATAGAAGTATTTTTTCCTGATAAATGTTCTAACACTGATAAGGAGATCTGTGAGGGACTGCTTTTGCCAGGACCAAGGACAAAGAGCTCTTTGATAGCCCTCATGAGTTGCTAGGCAATGGCTGAGTGATCGTGATAAACTTCAGCTAAGCAGCTCTAAAGAAATGCTCATGCATTTAATGCATGATGCATTATGCCTGCGGCCTTCACGTGAAATCAGCATTCACTAGGCATTTGTGATTATGTGAATGCAGTAAATAAATCATTTGGGGTGTCATTATTTCCCCCTCTCAGAGATCTAACCCAAACTCCTGGTCTTGCTTAATTGTTTATATTCCTTATGCCAGTATTGCAATATTTGGGCATCAATGGAGGAAGGAAATGATTTCAACTCGATGTCCTGTTCCCAAGCAACAAACTACTAAATATCTATTACAGTGAAGAGTGTGATTTGTTAATAATCACTGGGTTTGGTGATTATAGGCGAGAGGAACCGAAGGCACTCAGCAACTGAATATTTGGTCATAACACTGTCCCTGCTTTTCTAATCCTCTGGACACCCAAGGCATACAGTAGTGTAGGCAAGAAACTCCCCGGTGTATCGACCTCTGTCCACCCAGTGCCTTCCCTGGGAGCTATGAGCACCTTCCTGCCACCAGGAGCTGGTACCACCTCATCTTCCTGCTCCCAGCACCAAACTCTGCAGTTGCATACAAGGTGGAGACACTCAGCAAATGGTTGTTAAATCAAAGTTTTCTCTTTGTATACTATTAATATAAATGTTAAAGGTCCATTAAAAAGGATCTGCTATTGGTCACTACGTTGAAA